TTTTAGTGCGGGCATCTGAACATTGAAAATTTTGCTCTGTTTCGAAATCCGAGACTGGGCCATTCTCCTTTTCTATGACTCAGAGCTGCTAAATTTATTGTGCTATTACACGGTTTAGGCGAGCTCCTTCAAATGTCCATTTGTATGATTTCTTTCATTTCATCCTCTTCGAACGGAGTTATGACAGCGCGACGGTTTGTTGACGGATTATTGCTTCGTAATGCGTCGATTTTCCCCCCAAATTAGGAGCAGTTTTGTAGTTTGTCGTTCTTCGTTCATCTCAGTTGCAGGAAAAAAACGCCATTGCGAAACATCGGCTTTCTGCAAAAGGAAGCGCTCCCTTCTCATAAATAATTAAGGGGAACTGGGACAAGCATGAGAACACTTTTTCGAGAAATCTGGCTTGTCGTTTCTATTCTTATCTTCATGAGCGTGCTCGGAATCTGAAGTGGTTGAAATGGTCACACAGAATTCCACAGAAGCGATTAAAATATGGAAAAAGTCAAGAACTTCATACCTTTTAATTTATTCGTTTACCTTCGAACCAGCAACAGGAGAAATGTCTTACAATGTATTTAATAAAATACTGTAACAGTATTAACAATTTTCTAGAACGGAGATGTGTCGGCAAGTGGTCTCATGTTTCCCACGCCGGTTCTGTAGTTCAAATGGTCAGGCCCCAACCAGCCTTCATCATCCCGAATGGGTTATTAATATATTGTAAAGTACGCTAATTCGCATGGAAGACAGGAACATGCTGTCTGATTAGCCTGTCCCCAGAGCATTACGCGTGGAATATGTGCCGTATGTCAGAAGAGGATTCACCAACGAGCCTGACCCCTTGGTCCTTTATGAGACCAAAAGCGGGCCCTACTACTGAGTTTTTCTTCGGTGTGTGCGGCAACACAGTCGGTGGTCCTACTAGGCTTACGATGCTAGGGGTCAGGCTTGCCTTAAAGGCACGGTCCGCGATACATTAGGGCTAAAATGTATCAAATGTGCACGATGACAAGGCAGGCACCCGCAGAGGCTGTACTATATGCAAAAGTTGAAAACTGCTACCAGAGCGCAGGGTTCTTCGGTTTTAGGCCTTTAGGTCGCCCAGCAGGCCCATGCCGGCCTTCGGTGCATGTGTCGTTGTGACACTGCCATTGCGCTCTCTCGCCCGTCGTTTTCTCGGCCTTTCTCGTCTCTTGTCAGTGTGTTATCTCCTTTTGCGATTCAAGTTGGTCTTGACCATCTTATATGCTCGTCCAGTGGTCACGGTGAGTTGCAATAAAAAAGATCGTTATTGCGGGCACTCAATAAAAAGGTCTTGTTGCGGACGCTTTTTCGAGCTTTCTTCTCCTTCAGTAAGGTCAACAGCACATGGCGATTCTATTTTCGGTATTACTGCATCTGTGTTATGCATTGCGATCTGTATTAATTATTGCGGTTGTGGGAATTGTCTTCAAAGGCAGTTGGCACGATGGTTTCCTACTTAGCCTAAAATGCTAGTAGGGCGCTGTATAGTGGGGAAATGGCGAAAGAACGGAGTGAAACGGTCAAAATCCTGCGAAGAAAAAGCCTCCGTTCTCAGTGACTTGTAAATCGATTTCGGACGAGTTTCCCGTAGGCATCTTACCAATCACCGCTACCGAAGATACGGCTGCATATGTGTACCCATGTATGCATGCAGCATCACGGCCGCTTCATACCAATCCCTTCGCTTCATTTGCTTAGCAAATGAATGAATACGAGCGTCAGGAACGGTCGTCCATTTGTGGGCGGGCGGGCGTGGCGGGCGTTTGGGACGTAAAGTTGTGGCTTGATAGGGCCCTTATAAGGGCACCTTCCTCGGGGAAACCGCTATGCAGCGCCTGCCCAGGGTCGCGGAATTCTATCCTGTCCAGGAGTCTGGCGGGATTTATCGTGCCAACTGCCTTTAAGGCTAGTGGCATAAATCGACAAGGCGTACGTGAGTCGATACGCTAACAGAAAAAAAAACAAACAGAATACAGTGTATCTTTGCAGGCGCTGCGTGGCGCCTTCTCCAACCAAGGGCACAGTTATAGAGCCCAATCAAGGTGCACATGCAGACCCAGACGCTCATCGCCCGCCCACAAATGGCCGCGCAGTCATATCGACGTTGTTCTTTAACGCTTCATGTAGAAGTGCAGTTGATATGAAGCGTTGTTAAATGGACATATAAACACATACGTGCAGCCGTATCTACCAATGGGTTGTTTGCATAATGCCAACGAGAAACTCTTCCAAACATCTCGCTTTTTCATTTGTCCTTTTATAGGCTCCTCCTACTATTCTAGAGCTTTTAACAGATTATCGTGCCTTATGCCTTCGAAGTCCTATTTTCGTTCCCTCTTCTTTCTCTAATGCGTCTTCCCTTATCTATTCTCAAGAGTCTTATGAGCTTTGAAAATTGTTTTAATGCACATGTAGTAGGGGCTTGACGTGTCGCCTGTCGCTGCGAATGGTGGGGCGTGCCAGTAGGTTGGGTTTCTGCGGTAACAGCACGTTTTCCACCGCTTGGTGCCGCTTGCGACCTCCAACAATTTGGGGAACGGGCTGGAGCCGTGTAACCTGCTCTCTCAATGACACGCCTCCACCATCCGCAGCGAACAAGACTGTACTTTCTATATTTTACACCTTCATTTTCTATACTCTTCACCATTCTGCCCCGACAACGACTTCAATCATACAGCTCTATTTGTAGGGAACGCTCTTCAGGCGTATTCCATCAATTCCAGAAGACAAAGTTCCCATGCGCAGCTTAGAAAATTTTTAAATTATTAGAGAGCGCGCGAATTCAGCTTGCTCCAAGTTTTTCTCCGTTATTGTACCTGATAAAGAACTCGTCCCCATTGTTGTTATGGGGTCATGCATTGAAAAGGATGTGGGCGTGGGTGCGCGAAATGAGGGGAGCAAGTTCTGTGAAGATTAAGGGCTACTCCATATTCTTTATTTCACTCAGTTCTAATTAGTCATTAAAAGGAGGCGGCGATGAGTAATCCGCGGATTCGCAGAACCAGTTTCCATTGCAGCGTCGTGAACAGCACGACTACGGCGGCACCGGAAGCTGTCTTTGATTATCACGTCGCTTGCGAAACTTGCGATGCTGTGTAGTGACGCATGGTGCATAAGTGCCACCAAGCGCCTAAGTTCGTTAATCCATCTTCGCACATTACCTATCAAGTTCTGCCTAAGCCAGTCAGCCAAAGAGGTGCGCCGGCTTGATCGCCCTCAACCACGCCCTCATTATCGCGTCGCTAACCCGTTCAC